ATATATATATATATATACATATATATATATATTTAAATATTTATGCATATACGCGGGTTTCAAAAAAATAAATAAAACATATAGAATGATAGAGAGAGAAGATATTATGTGTCAAGATAAAAAAATGTTACGCTTAGTACGCATATGCGTTAGTATTCAACCGGGCAATATTGCAACCACGGTAACATTTCCGTGTGCATAACAGCGTAATGCAGCAGCAGGCCTCAAACGGTGGAGTTTCTTCTGGACTGCAACAGAATGGAGCTACGGCTGACACTGGGGGACCACAAGCTAATGGCAATGTGATACCGGAGTCCGATAATGACATCAATGGTGTGAATGGGGAAACTAATCCAAGTTTAGGACCTCCTAAAATAATGGACAAAACTAATCAGGACATTGTGAGACTCATCGGCCAACATTTGAAAACTGTTGGGCTAGAGTATGTATTGTTTCTTTCTTATTTGTCTCATTCTCTAAGATATTATCTAAACATTTACTTCGGATTTAATCTTTAATCGAGCACGATTCTAACAGATAAAATAAAATTTATTTGGACGTTCCTTTAGTTTCCTTTGTGAACGTTTATCAAGAGAACTGTTCTACCATACATGCTGCTACTTGGCAAGAGAAAGTTATTTTTAGAGTCATGAAATATAGTCACTAGTATCTGCTAGTTATATTTACTTTGTAATGATGTTGCTCCGAATGAATGTGTTGGTACTATCTATATAAAATAAGCTTCTAGCAAAATATATATTTTTCCCTAAAACATGGAAAACTGTGAGTTCTTTGTTCGAACTCTTGATGCAATGTATTGCCTATGCTATCATACTTAGATGAATTTTTTTAATTATTCTAATATAGCTTACAATTTGTTTAGTAACGACAAATAAATACAAAATATATATATTTTCTTTAGCCGTACAGCAGACCTGCTTATGCAAGAATCAGGTTGTCGATTGGACCATCCTGCAGCTGCAAAGTTTAGACAGCATGTTATGGATGGAGACTGGAACAAAGCAGATCACGATCTTAACGAATTAAAATCCTTTTTAAATGGTGCAAGTCAGAGCTTGGTGGTAAAGATTTTATTATTTAAATTTAGTTTTTATATTTATGTTATTTAATTTTTTTTAAATATGATGTATTATATTAAATTTTTGTTTATAGGAAATGAAATTCCTACTCTTAGAGCAAAAATATCTGGAGTTTTTAGAAGAAGGTTTAGTTTTAGAAGCTTTACAAGTTTTACGCAATGAATTGACACCTCTAGGGCACAATACCGGCCGCGTTCATCAATTGTCAGCATTTATGATGTGTAGCGGACGTGATGAATTACAGGTATTGCATTTATATCATTAAATTGTATATACAATATTAGGTTGTCCCATAAATTCTTTCCGCGCCACGCTATGTATGACTTCGAGCCGGCTATGTTTGTAGACATGCAGGCTTATCTATTGTCCATTTATGGCATCGATTTCAGTCGTCTTACAGCTCTTTCAAAGTTTATGGGAGTGATACTACAACTATTAGAACCGTTCGCAAAAAAAAAAGGAAAGAACTTATGGGACAAACTAATATTACACGAGTTAAAATTGTTGTAATGAGTAATCTTTGTTCTTCGTAATAATAACCATATATTCTAGATAGCAAATTCCTTGAAAGAATTGAATAGATATTTTAAAAATTCACAAAACTAACATACAACTGAAAATTTGATCATTAGCAAATAGACAATTGTTAACAGACACGTGCAGGCTGGGATGGTAAGGGTTCAGCTTCCAGAGCAGCGCTTATGGATAGATTACAGAGGTATCTTCCACCTTCTATCATGTTGCCACCACGTCGACTTCACTCGTTGCTTTGTCAAGCAGTGGAAATGCAAAATCAGCAATGCACATACCATGTAACTCATATGCAGGTATTTTAAAGTAATAGAATGTAAATGTATTGTTATACATATTAATGATACTTATTATAACTTTTTACAATGCATTTTCTTTCTTACGTGGATCTCGTTATTCTTCTATTATGTTTATTATCTTCGATAAATTAGACAAGCTTGGAAAACGTGTCGCTGCTAGTGGACCACAGTTGTAGCAAAGAACAATTTCCGTGCCATACCGTACAATTGCTGAATGATCATTGTGACGAAGTTTGGTATTGCAAATTCTCTCCTGATGGTCTTAAATTAGCCACAGGTTCTAAAGATATGACTGTAATTATATGGGATGTTGATCCGGTAAGAGTGTACGACTAAATAAATAATCTCGAATCTTTCAAAGAGCTTATTACAATGTTATATAATTCGTCATCTATAGGAAACCTTGAGAGTAACGCACAGAAAAACATTGGAAGGACATACATATGGTGTAGCGCTTATAGCTTGGAGTCCAGATAGTAGCCATCTTATTGCTTGTGGCCCTGAAGATTGTCCAGAACTATGGCTTTGGTGTGTGGATACGCCTGACTGTGAATTACGTGTTAAATTAACTCAAAGTACCGATGATTCTTTGACGGCCTGTGCCTGGCATCGAGATTCGAATAAGTTTGTTGCCGGAGGACTTCGTGGTCAATTCTATCAATGTGTAAGTGACGATTTCATTTTGATTAAGACATTACCAAAAATGTAAACCACTGAATTCAGTTGTGTTTACTATTCTGCTTCTATCGTTACATTGTTTCTATAAAATTTGTATTAAATCAATCCAGGATATGGATGGTAATGTCTCAGATTCATGGGAAGGTGTTAGAGTTAAATGTTTATGGTGTAGAAGCGATGGAAAAACTGTTTTAGCAGCTGATTCTCATCATCGAATTCGAGGATATAATTTTGACGAATTATGTGATTTTACAATGTATGTTGAATGCATTTTTTCTTCTTATTGAAACCAGTCTCGTTACAATTATAATTAAATATAATTAACATTATTATTAAACCATATATAGATTACAAGAGGATCACCCAGTTATGTCCTTTAGTGTTAACAAAGCGGATAGACTTGCTTTACTTAATGTGGCTAATCAAGGAGTACATCTATGGGACTTACAAGATCGTTGTTTAGTAAGGCGTTTTCAAGGTGTTACTCAAGGACACTTTACAATTCATAGCTGTTTCGGTGGTATCAATCAAGATTTTATTGCATCCGGTAGTGAAGGTACGTCGAGTATATTGCAAAATGTTTTTATTTTTGCACGAAAATTTTTGCACAAAAATGAAAACATTTTGCAATATTATTTTTATTATTATTATTATTATTATTATTATTATTATTATTATTATTATTATTTTTATTATTATTTTATTATTATTATTATTACTATTATTTTTATTATTATTATAGACAATAAAGTGTATGTATGGCATATCAAACGAGAACTCCCCATAGCAACTTTAACGGGACATAGTCGAACGGTTAATTGTGTTTCGTGGAATCCTGTTTATCATCAAATGATGGCTTCTGTATCTGATGATTGTACAGTAAGGATATGGGGACCAAGGTCTTCCTCTCCTGAAAAAGCTGATAATGATAAGACTGGTAAGTCTTCATTCGATTAATATCGTATATATAATTTAATAATGTATTCTTTAACTTGATACATAACAACCCTTATTATTATTTGTAAGAAATTATTTGCAAGAATATTTATTTAATCATGACGTACGAGTTATTATCGTTATATTGTAGCATCGCTAGAAAGTGCATCCTCAAATAGCAGTGGCTGGCACGAAATGGTATCGTAGCGAATTACAGCACATCAAAATTCCCATTACTTCATGGTGTTTAAAAGACTGTTTTACTGAATGTCATGCTAACTTTTTCCTGCCCGTTGCAATTATCCCTCTGTGCCTCGTTATCATCAATTTATAGACCATCGATTAAATGTGGAGGTAAAAAAAATGGGGGATGATGTGGACGTTAGCAATTATCTGCTAATCAATAAAAAGAAAAAGAAAAAGAAAACAAAAAAAAAAGAAAAATACTAATCAGATATGTAAAAAATTTGGGAACTTTATGTGTATATTTCTTTTCGGTTGATTTACGGATTTTATAATAGTATTATATAATCCGTCTTACTATATCTCACATTGAACTATTTGATTCATATGAGATAATAATTGGAAGAAAAAAATAAAGAAACAGGAAAAGAGAGAGAGAGAGAGAGAGAGAGAGAGAGAGAGAGAGAGAGAGAGAGAGGAAGAGAGGAGCATAATAATAATAACAAAAAAATAATAAAAAATAAAATAAAGTATAATATGTTATGGCAGTATAAAAAACTAAAGAAATTCCGTCTTAGAATTAGTGTAAGGGTGAAGGTTTATATGCATGAATAATGAGAACAAAATTTAAGATGAGAACAAAACCATTTGGTCATACTGTTTTGACAAGGATTATGTGAAATCTGTTTAATCGTGCTAATAAAAACACATTGTAAATAACAGTCGTACGTGTAGTGAATCTCTAACTCGTTTTGTATTTTTCATCAGTGGAAAAGACAAAATCTATGTTTCTAGCATACAAACCGAACTTGACGTTTTATGTCGAATGAGAATGCTTCATGTGATATGCTGTTAATCTTGAAAGGTTACTAGATGATTTAAAATAAATATAGTCAAACGCAAAAAATAAAAAAGAGAGAGCGAGAGAGAGAGAGAGAGAGAGAGAGAAAGATAAAGAAATGAATTTCGAACTTTGTATATTGCCATGCAATAACGGAAAATAAATAAATAAACAGATTTTATAATTATTATTCTTTTTGTTTAAGAATATAAGAAACAAGTTACTCGGAGTGCAATGATGAAAAATTAACCAACACAAGTTTGAAAACCCGTGTGTATAAGTAAACATTGTATAATTACGTTTGTATGTTTGTCTTTTAACTGCCACATTTTCAGAATAAAAATGCGATTTAAATTTCAATCAAATGTATTCGAATATTTTCAAGGCACTGCGGAAACATTTTATGCATGACCTCACAATCCTATAGTAATCATTTTTTATAAACGTACCGTTTGATTTTAATATTAAAAAAAAAAAAAAAAGGAATATTTCGTTGCATCTTACAAAATAAAGATAATAATAATAACTTTCAACTCTCGTGTTAAGTGTATTTAATAATCGGTAAAAATAAAAAAAGAATTTTAATGGCAGTTATGGGACGAATTTGTTAAAAGTCTTTATTTTTCTATAAGTAAGGTATCGATGATACTATATCAATGAAAAAACTAATATTTGTTAACAAAAAAAAATGATGTAAGCATAAAAACAGAAGATATGTCAATGTGTATCCGGCTTTGAATATATCTATCTGTTAAAATGCTGCTCATGATGTCCTTTGCATCTTAACTTTGCTTTGCATGCAAATAAAAGATTGCTACTTTACTATAATATATACATGCTACTTAAAAAAATAAAAAAGAAAAAAAACAGAAGAAAAGAAAAAGGAAAAAGAAAAAAAAGGCCCAAGAAATTTAATTTTGCACACACAGAAAGCGAAATGATCTTCTTAAATCATCCCGAAGTGTATGTATAAAAGTGCTTACTTTTTCATAGTAAATATAATTATATATAAAAAAAGAAGAAGAAAAGAAAGATACAAAAGAAATGTCTGTAGTTTAATGCTCCCATAGTACTATTAGGAAAATATATATTAATCACGAATATTATCATTTGCATTTACCTCTGGTGCCTTAGCACTTTATAAACTAACTAAATATTTCCAGCACTTTATCATAATTTATAATAGCATATATATATACATACATACATACATACAAACATACATATATGTATATATAATACGTTTCATACAATTTACATTATTATTATGATGAAGATATAATGTCTATAAAATTGTACAAAAGTTCCGCTCATTTAAATAAGTAACCTTTCGATTTAACTTCAGCATTCACGTGATGTTTTACAAATGGCTTCTTCATATGCAGCCTAATATGTATAACTTTAAATAGATTATTAATTATTATTATGATTATTATTATTATTATAATATCAACAGCAAACCATCTCTAGATGGTCTGTCTTTTGTACTTTTCCTCACGATATTATAAAAAGAAAAGCAATAATGAAAATTGTAGAGAGAAGTAACTTGTATATAGAAGATATATTACATGTTTGCTTTATGATTTAATATCCTCGGTAGAAGATTAAATATTCGAACTAATTCATGCTATAATTATTTCATTAATTCAGTTAAATATACTTCCAAAATACAGATTACTAATCTATTACTACCACCTATTATTTATCGGCTTTTTAGTTTGTAACCGGAGAAAAGTTTTATAAATAACTATGTTTAACATAATATCTTTTCCGAAGCAATCAATAGTTGATAACGTTTAAATACTATCAATCGTTTAACTTTTTCGATGTAGGGTTCTCCCTTTTTTTTTTTTTTATTTCTGTTTCTTTTTTTTTTTGTATAACAAAATAAAAAAAAGAGTATAGTATGATATTTCATATATTTCAATATCATAAACTATTATTATTATGTGATAAAATAAATCAACGATAAAAAAACGAATAATATTTTTTAATTTGTCGGTAATACTATTCTCTTTTTGTTATCATTTTTTAATTGAAAGTAATATTTTAATTTGTTATTCGATATGTATGCAAAGTAATAAATGTATACTGTTTTATTGTAAAAGAAAGAAAGACCAAAAAAAACAGAATATTCACGTGCAACAATCTACTCTTAAAACGAGGGCAAATTTTCTTTTAATTCTCATCGTTACGAATATGATTTGTATAATTAAGAATATCCTTATTATAATTATTTCACATGTACTTAACTCCAAAAGAGTATTAACAGCTTTATCACTATTATAGATTATTATGTACTTGGTATTATATGATAATATTAAGTATATGAATAACAAATTTGTTGGAACCAATTAAAAGCTGTTAGTAATCTTATGATCATATCCCATATAAAAAATGTATTCATTATTCTAAAATTATTTACGTGATTTATTAACTAACATATAAATGAAAAATGAAATTATATTATTTTGCAGATTTTGAATTCCTCTAATATATTAGGTTTTTTATAGGTTTAAAAAAAAGAGGGGCCTCTTATTTTAATTTAAAAAAAAAAAAAAAAGAAAAAAAATCTAGTGTATCGATTAAAAAGTAAGTTTTAAAGATTTTAACGATTGCTATGTATATCTTTTGATTTATAATTTGATTCTAGAAAAATAACAGATACATATTATAGAGTGTTTTATATTACATGAATGCGTGAGAAAGAATTACTTTAAGAGTACGAAGTTATTTTTCTAAGATGAACAAAAATATTCCACGATTTCGCTATATTCATCTGGGGCGTTTCTGCTTTCTTATATTAAAATAATGAAAACTATTCTGTTCTAATGTACATTACGTTGGAATAACTTAGCCTTTATAATGTAATTTATTTCATGTGTTATAGGGCATAACTTATTTCATGTATATTCCATAGCATATGAAATATCTATATATAGAATATATTTTAAATGCAGGTAAATTTTAAACATATTATATATTCATATATAAATATGCATATATATATATGTATATACATAAACATTTACCTGTATGTATACAAAGATTAATACCGCTGTCTGTAATGACATGGCCTAACAGGGCCAGTGCAACAACACATTATTTGCATTGTACATTATAACAAATAAACTTAAACATTTTTTGAAGTTTCGCATAATATGGGATATAACTCGGTAATCTTTGAATATCACTCGACCTAAGTGTTAAATCAAATAAACGTATATAAATATATTAAGTAAATATTTTCCAGACAATAGCGTAATCAAAAAAAAAATATTAATAACTCAAAATATATGCCACGAAGGAAACAAAATATTATTAACATATACATCGTAGCTTTGTGTTTTATATAATATCATCATTAAATTTAAGATTAATTAAATTTTCTTAAATGGCGTTAAATCGTAGTTTAAAATACTTTTCTGCCAAGAGTAATTATATTTTCAGCTAATTTGTTCGAGCATAGAAAATAAGATTTAATAAATAAATAGAGGTAATAATAATATTAATATCATTCGAGTGGTATTCAAAAATTAAGCAAAATAAAAGAAAAATAAAATCAATTTTGAATGATATTTCTCGTAAAATATTCGTATATATATATATATAAATATACATACTTTTAAATAAGAAATAGTAGACATTTTTCGACTATGGATCCAATTTAATTGATAGGAATTTTGTGCGATAACGAAAATATTCCTTTTTCTACAAATGTGTTTCTCGCAACAATAATAAAACAAAACAAAAAAAAAACTATATTAAATATTTACAAATAGTTGTTAAAATTAATTAATTGTATTGACGTGAATGAATAAAAGATAAAAATATAAAGGCGTAGACGATAAAAACGACGAATAAAAGAAAAGAAACTTACCGAAATTATTAAGAGTACTATATTTGATGTATATCGTTAAGGACAAACGAAAAACAATGTACGATATAATAATATATATAAAACTTATCGAAAGTATGAGACAATTAATGAGAATCCACGGTTTTAGATATTACTGAATTAATTCTAATATTATATAAATAATAATAATAATGTAAATGCATTTTTCGCTTACCCTTGATGAACTCTAAAAACCAAGGAAATTAAAATCGACACATTTCATTCGTTTTAAATGTCCCGCACTAATCGAAATATATCGAACTTTTAAATATATCTATATATCGATGGGTTACGAGTTATCGATATCTCGAAAAGTAATCGAAGAATCGAGACGTGGGTGAGCCGGTTAGCGAATAGGAATTATTCTTATTATTTCTTATCCCTTCCCATCGGGTCGTTTGTCGAGACTATTCCAAGATTTTGTCTTATTCGCTATGGTATTGATGATTTCCTCTTTAGGAAATCGTATTCGTTCTTAGTATGCTTTATAGAGAACCCAAAGGAGTTAATCGACTTAAAGTTGGAAAAACACTTGTACTATTTGAGAGTTTCCTACTTACTGGCTCGTTAATACTTTGGAGTTGTATGTGTAGATCGCAAGGTAAATTATACTACTATTTAGTCAATTCGATAATAAGTTCAGGTTATTGCCTTTAACGATATATTGTTCCTTGTTTTCATTTCTAACATGTCATGTGTTTTAACTTGATGCTTTTTTATTATTTTCATTTTAAATTATGAGCTTTACAAAGTAAGTTCCACAAATCGATATAGTTTAATATTCGTTGGTTAACGTTTTTTTTCTGTATATTCCATTTATTTTGTCTTCAAGCAACGTACTTTGAAAGTTTAAAGTACCTTTTTTACCTGGTGAATATTTTAATTGTTATAATATTGAATTGTATGATTGTATAATTGTAGATATCTTGATATATTAATCGTATCTTTTTTCTAACTAGGACAATAACTTCTTTAATACATTGTACGTTTGGATATTTCCTTTCTTTTTTTTTTTTTCTTTCCTTCTTTCTTTCTTTCTTTACCTTTTTAGATTTCAGATATTTTCTACACCAAAAGTTTCCATCGATGTTAAATGGTTTTTATAATATATATGAAAAAGTATCAGGTGATAATTCAATCAGAACAGCTGACACAATGAAATGGGAATAAAATTAAGATTTAGTATTCATGGCGTTCTTCAAATCTATGTTACTGTTAATAGGTGGTGGAGGTTTAGGATATTACCTAATACAAACGCTATCAATAAGTCAACGTGAATTAGAAGAGGTAACATTATTATATTTCTTATAATAAAATTAAAATATCTTTGAATGAAATACATTGTCTATGTTAACAGTTCCTTGCGTATGATAATTCGCCTAAAAAATCTACAACAGAGGATAAAAATAAAGTCTTGAAACAATTGAGGAAGATAAAAGAATCAAGCGAAGAGAAACTTATGAAATCTGTATCAGTGTTATTTGAAGATAATATAAACAATACTAACAAATAGCATTCAGATAACAATAAGATGGAGAATACTAATTTCATCGAAGGAAGTTTGCCGGAACGTATAAATAAGAGAGATCGCGAAAGGAAAAACATCATTGAAAGACGGAAAGAAGAACGACAATCTCTCGCAGTAGAATCTGAACAAAGTAGTTATTTTAAAGATACGTTTTACTCGTCGTGTAAAAAAATTAAAGATATGCTAGACGACACGTCTAGCGCACCACCGTCGGTGCTTTCCGTTTCTTTTGATAAAATAAGCAAAGAAATTCAGATGCTTAAAAATTACCTGTCCCAGTCGAAAATGTATTTAAAAGTCTACGACATTAGAAAGGCACAGGAAAATTTGCAATTGCTGGAGAACGAAGCTTCGGAATTGGAGATGAAACTTTTACCTAAGAAAAAGTTTGGATTTAAGAACAGAAGAGTCGTTAAGAAACCTACTGAAAAAACGTATGACGTGACAGATGGATTAAAAGATCTCAAAATATCGGAAGGTATCGTTAATGGTTCATCCAAACAAAATAACAAATTGTTTAATAAATACGGAGAGAATGCGTGTATATTAGTAGGAAAGTTCGACGAACAATTAGTTTTGGATGCAGAAAACGTTAATAAGAATGATATTCTTCTTTCTGATTTAACTCGATGTACAGTAAGAATATACGGCACGCCTATTACGCTGCATATGATTAATTTGAAACAATGTACTATCTTAGTAGGACCGGTAACATCGTCTGTATTTGCTCACGACTGTATTGATTGTACATTTGCTTTTGCATGTCAACAATTTCGATTACATTCGTCTACGGATTGCACTATATACCTCCACGTTACTAGCAGAGCAATTATAGAAGATTCTACAAATATAAGAGTAGCACCTTACAATTGGTCTTATGAAGATCAAATGAATCATTTCTGTCTAGCTGGTCTCGATCCAAAAATTAATAATTGGAATTGTGTAGATGACTTTAATTGGTTATCGAGTGAGAAACATTCGCCTAACTGGTCGATACTCGAACCCGAATTACGTATTAAAAATTGGGATTAATGTAATAAAAATTTATTATTAAAAAAGCTTCAATATTTACTGTTTCTATAGGCAGGTGTTTTATCCTTATTTAGATTAAGAATTAGTTGATCTATCGAGATAAATTATTTATGCGTATGCATATGCATATACATATAAATATATATA